TGCTATGCAGAATAAAAAAATGACAGTTTTGAAAAAAAAGTACTGTATTTTGAAATGTCCAAAATGGTTTCTTGTCTTCTACATGTATGAGAGTTATATTGATGCTACTCATCAGAGTATCTACAAAGTACCATAACATTTGTAGTGTCATTTGTATGTTAAATACTTTGTTGAGTTTACGTGCTATGAGGCATAGTTGTTGGTGGACGTTCCTGTAAGAAAATCGTAATTGTCATAAATAATGAAACAAGAAAAGTATGAGAGGTGTAAAATATATATAAAAGATATATTGTAGCGTAGAATTCGATTTAAACTATAATTGTATCTTGCGATTAGTTTCAAATACGCAATTATTTCACACAATTTGAAATAATTATTTTAATATACACCCGGTATAGTTCATTTAAAACACCATCTTAAATATGTCTTATTTTGATCAATATAAAGAAATATTTCAATTAAAAGTGGAATGATTTTGATGGAGACATATTTTTGTTATGTCGATTTTTTTCTTCTAGGTAGCGCAATGCAAATGTGAAAGTTAGAAACATTTTTTTAAATGTAATTATATTTATTTTTACACACACACAAAATATAAAATTCCTATATTTATTCTACACATAAAAATTAAGACTGAGACATCAAAAAATTAATAGTTTACAAATATTTAACATTTTATGTCAATTTGTACCATAAGAAAGCATAAAGCAACTCTAATTTATTACTACTATGAAATAACTCGTTATTGTTTTTCTAACTTTATCTTACCTTTTAACGTTAATAATTTTATATACAGAATACTTAGGAAAACATTGTGTAAAGTATCATATAATTTCATTAAAACAAGTGAAAGTAACCGTCTATTTGGCGTCTCTATCTATAAAATGTGACCAAAATACGTATCCCTCATCAAACAGTTGCACATTCAAAAAATCATCTTTTTATCTTTTATACATTTGCAAATATTAGGAAATTTGAAATGAGTATCCCTGTATACATATGCACATTTATATACACAGTGATTCTTTTAAAAAATTACATCAAAATCCATGTAGATTGCTTGCGATCCTTAGCTGTTATACATTCTCGGACTAAAATGGATTTGTTTTGTTTTCTATATCTGTAAACTGCATTATTTTCGATAAGATCGGAATAAAGTACACATAAACGATCATTGACTTGATGAAATCTGGAGCTTGTGTATCTGAATTAAATAATATGGATTTATTTTTAGTTATGCCCTTCAGTAAAATTAAAATACGTGCATTATACATATACGTTACGTTACTAAATAATAAATGTAAAATAAAATTAGAGTTTTGTTATTTGTTTTATATGTTTTTTCATATAACACATATATTTGTCGTTTATAACTGAAAAAATTTTTATTATTTTTCCATTTAATTTGTCTCATAATGTATAGTATTATTTTTACAATTGCAATATTTATCCTGTTAAAAAATTATTTAAAATTATATAAAGTGTCTTAAAATTTTAATGAACTTTAAAGAGATCTTTAATGTTCACTCTGTGATTATTTCTTCTCACAATATCAATAAAGAATAGCTTACTAGAGTTGTAAGTGAATGTTTGGATTTATACTAACCCAAGAACAGTTCCGCAAATTAGCGCACTTAAGATATTTACACATAATGGATAACATATTGACAGCATATAAAAAATGAATTTTAAAATTGATTCACTGTCCATTGAATTATAATATTTAGTATAAAAGACGGTTAGTATCATATCATGAAAAACAAATACAATACATCCGATTATTATTCGAATTATCCAGTTACGCATCCGGTGATATTCATTTGGAGCACCGAGTGTTTCTAATGTGTCGTTTACTACAGAGAGTTCACGTAAACATATTTTCAATTCCTTTAAAAAATTATATACGACTTGATTATGCGACATAATATAGAAAGTATTATATTATATTTTCATACTTGAACAAAAATTATTATTTTAATGTGTACAAAAAATGTTTTAAATAAAGAGTTATTAAAATGCTATTAGTATTTTAAACATAGGAAATAAATAAATTATTATAAAAACTAAAAATTTAGGAACAATTATTTAAATATTACATCATATAGGATCGTACATATGAGAAACACAACCAATAAGAAATTGCATAGCCTTTAACGGCCGAGCTGGATCTTAGGTGCTTATTTTAATTCCATGTGCATTTACCCAGGCAGCAACGTCACGTGATATTCACGTCAGTTTTTGGTCAGTCGTGACATCAATTATCCTTTAATAATCACGTGAAAATAACGTGAAAATGACCGGAATCAGTCACAGCCCAAAGACGTCATAATAAAACGTTAAAATGACGTTATAAGAAAACGCAAAAATGACGTGTCAGAATACTCGTATTTAGCTCCATTTTGACATAAAACAGATATTTCGGTATTTTTTAAGGCTCCTGAATACCGGCGACGGCTATGTTGGAATTATAACGTCATATACGAGAAAAACACATTAACTTTTTTTGCGTCCCATTTTTTAATAAAGACAATTTGGATAAATTTAAAAGGCAAGATCGTTCAAAAACACTTGTGAAAATTGGCGGAAACTGTCCTTTCCTCCTCTGATAGTCAGTAAATGGTCGTAAAAGGCACGTAAAGTGAGCCTATACTCGGACAGAATCACACAGTTTAACAGCTGATGAAACGAGTGAAATATACGCTTTTATGTATATAATTTCACGATAACTGCAGTTTCCACCAATTTTAGGACTTTCACGAGTATGAGAGGGAAGTCACATTTTCATAAATAAGCAAATATTGACGAAATGGCCCGCAAGAAAAATTTTGTCGTCAAAACTGGTCAAAACATCACATTTCCACGCCTATAGCCTATCGCACATGAAATGCACAACAGTGCATAAACACATGATATATATCATGCATAAACATAACGTAAGACCGCTGGACCAATGAGCATCTTATGTTAATCAATATGGCAACATTGGCAACTTTATGCTGGATGCTTATTGGGTCAACAGTTTTATGTTATGCTCATGCTCTATTATGCATTTCATGTGCGATAGGCTTATTAGTTCAGCCTTTTACCATGGCGAGCGCGCTATACACACATACAAGCATGAACCCATTTCTGTGTGCTCCCCTTCTGCCCGAAAATGAGCACACGGACATGAGCTTGCATTTATGTGTATTGGATCTTCTACAATAAGTCATAAGTCATAAATCGGAAGTAAGAAACTAATAATCGACGACTGTGATTGGTCCATTTCTAGCTTATGACTTATGATTTGTGACTTACGGCTTATTGTAGAAGGCCCAATAAATTGATTTTAAAAATGACCTAATAAAAACGTACCATAGACGTCTAGAAATTGACGTTATTATTACGTCAGAATATTCACGTTTTTTAAACGTCAATTATTGGGCACATGACGTCTGTGACCAATAATCACCATTTAGCGACGTGAATATCACGTGACGTTGCTGCCTGGGTACATATTATAGCTGCGTTCCGTTATTCACTGCAAGTACTGAAAAGCTATAGTATATGTAACGCGAACTATAAATTTTCAGTACTTGCAGTGAATAACGGAACATAGCTTATTATATGTAGTCTTTTAAACCAAACCGAACAATTTTTCGGTCTTGAAACTCTACGAAACTAGCACTTAAGATCTAGCTCGACAGTTAATTAAATGCAATTTCTTATTGGTTTAATTTAAGAACGTAATACAAATATAAATCTTAATTTTACGAATCATATTTTGTATAAGCCGGTAAGAATGTTAGCGCTCGGCTCGATTTGTTTTAGTTTTAGTTTGTCCCACGCGGCGTTGTATGCGCGATGGTTAGTTTTTTTCCGTTCTTGTATGAGTTTTGTATTGTAAGTTCGTTCATGAAAAGCGCGCGAGGCGCACGTTTTTGTTCACGATTATTTTGCATCAATTTTTGCGAGAAATAAAGCAAGTTAAACAAGTTTTGCAAATCCATTCAAGTTTCTATACCCAGCCGAACATTGGTCCATCGAGCCGGATACTTGAAGCAAAGAATACAGTCCACGAGAGAATTTCTTTGTCGCCATGTCTGAGGAGGTTAGTGCATTACGCAAACGTCGCGGTATCTCGAAGTCTAAATTAACGAAGTTGACGACGAGAATCGAGCGTATACGACAAGCAGAAGACGTTAGTAGAGAGCATATTGAAGAATGCATCGCAACGTTAGATCGAATACGTGTAGAATTCGAGAAACTACACGAGGAAATCATCGACGCTATGGATGGAGAGGTCTTAGTCACAGATTCAACAGAAGAGGCATATTTCGAAGAACGATACTTCGAGTTGAAAGTGACTCTAAACAAAATGCTACGAGATGTCACAATGAGGCCACCGGAGACACATTCTTCGGCGAGTAATGAAGTGATCTCGCAGGTATTGCAACAGCAATTCGACTTAATTCGTCAAATCAACCAACAGTCGAATGCGTCGCCAACATCGAGTAACGACGCCATTACAAGGTTGGTAGAAACGCAAACAGAGCTATTATCACGATTCACGGCCACCGGAGGCGCTGCAAGTCGTCCTACGGGCTACGGGTGTCAAGTTGCCAGTTTTGAAGCTGCCGTCTTTTGGCGGACGCATAGAAGATTGGAAGCGATTCGCGGACAAATTCCGATCGCTCATCCACAACAATGTCGATTTAAAGCCCGTGCAGAAGTTTCAATATCTCATTACGTCAATCACGGGTGACGCAGCTAGGATTATCGAATCCATCGAGTTAACAGAGGACAATTATCAAATAGCTTGGGATTTGTTGCAAAAGCGGTATGACGATCCACGAGCAATAAAGAAACGGCACATCGAGTGTCTCTTTTCAATGCCGTCAGTCAAGAAGGAATCCGCTATCGCCATTCGAGGGTTGATCGACTACACAACGAAGCATTTGCGAGTTTTGAAGGCTATGGACATGCCTACGGATGCCTAGGATGAACTCATCGTCCATATGATGGAAACGAAATTGGACGCTGTGACATTGCGCGCCTGGGAACAAGAAGGTAATGTAGAATCGCGAACATTGAATAATTTTGTTGATTATTTGCAGAAACGTTGTCTAATGCTCGAGCGTCTAGAAGCGAGAGCGAAAGAAGGAAGTAGTCATGTTGTTGATGGGTCTGACAAGCAGCGAGCAAAAAATCGAAGCCCAAAATCAAGCCAAGGCGACAAATCCACGTCGTTGGCAATATCGTCCGAAAATGGAAAGTGTTTTCTATGCGATGGAGAACACTTCATCTATTATTGCAAAGATTTCATCGCCATGTCAGTCGATGATCGTATCAAAGAGGTTCGTCGATTGAAACTGTGTTTCAATTGTTTGCGCAATGACCACTACGTCAAGTCATGCAAAATGGGATCTTGTCATGAGTGTTCAGGCAGACCCAACACGTTGTGCCACCTGCCAACCAAGTCGAAGGAGGACAGCAAGGAAGCTGAGCCAATCAGTACTCATAGCCAGAGTGCCTGCCAGATAGCAGTACATTTGTCGGCGAACGCGCCAGTGAAACGTCGCGTAATAGTGGCGACAGCTAGAATGCATGCGATTCATCCAAATGGTTCTAGTGTCCCGTGTCGTGTATTGTTAGATAGTGCATGCGAGGCACACCTTATTACGCGCGCGGCGTGCAATCGAATCGGCGTCAAACGAAATCCTGCCACAGCAGTTGTTACAGGGATAAATGAAAGTGAAACGCCGATACAACAAGTATGCGATATCGTTTTATAATCGAGCCATTCTAATTTTCGCATCAATGTACATTGTCTTATCGTTCCAAGGATAACGAAAGACTTGCCATCTGTTGAAATACCTCGCGAAGCGTTGCAAGTTCCGTCGAATTTAAAGTTAGCAGATCGCGAATTTGATAAACCCGGTACTGTTGATATCTTGCTAGGAGCCGAATACTTTTACGAATTGTTAGAAACGGGAAAAATAGAGCTTGGCGCTGATCGCCCGGTCGTACAGAACACGAAGCTTGGGTGGATCGTTGCCGGACCTCTTGCATTATCAGCGAATTCGGTTGCCACAGTCACTAATAAGGTCGCGTCACTTTGCTGTTTCGCACAATAGTGCGAATCTCTCAATAAGTCTCTCGAATGATTTTGGACAGTTGAACAAGGCGGTCCAGAAACGGCCACAATCCGGTCCGAAACTGAGCGACGATGCGAGGAATTATTCTATAAAACTACTAAGCGCGATGATAGCGGTCGATTCATAGTCCGTCTGCCGATTGTCGAAGGCACGAAACCGTTAGGCGAGTCAAGAGATATCGCCGAGAAGCGATTGAAGCAAATGGAACGTAGATTCAGGAGTAACGTTTCATTACACGAACAGTATGCAAATTTCATGCGCGAATACGAAGAGCTAGGTCATATGTCGCGAGTTGTCGATGAAGAACGTTAATTCGTCAATAGTATATTTGCCTCATCATAGCGTTGTGAAAAAGGATAGTACTACAACCAGATTGCGCGTAGTTTTCGTTGCGTCAAGCAAGACAGGCTCCGGTAAATCACTCAACGATATACTGATGGTCGGTCCGACTATTCAGAAATGTTTATTCGAAATAATGATTCGTTTCCGTATGCACAAGATTGCGTTGACCGGAGATATAAGACAAATGTATCGTCAGATAGTCGTCGAGCCATAAGACCGCGATTATCAAAGAATTTTGTGGAGACGTTCTCCAGACGAGCCAATTAAAGAGTATAAGTTAAATACCGTCACATATGGAGAAGCGAGCTCATCTTACTTAGCGACTAAATGTATATATAGACTTGCGGAGTTGGGGGAATGCGAGTACCCTGACGCTTCTAGAATTTTACGCGACGAAATATATGTAGATGACATCATGACCGGTGCCGAGGATGTCAGTAGCGCGATTGTATTGCAAAGGGAAATCACGGAGTTGTTAAAATCCGGAGGTTTTCAAGCTCATAAGTGGTGCTCGAATGCCACAGAAGTTTTAGCCCGAGTTTCTCAGGATAACAACGAGACCATTACGACGCTTAGCATCGATAATAAGGACACAGTCAAGGCTTTCGGTTTAGAATGGAATCCAAGGGAAGATACATTCCAGTTTGCAATGCGCGAACTTAAAGCGGTGAACACCAAGCGACAAATGTTCTCTGCAATCAGCAAGTTTTTCGATCCGCTAGGATTGGTAGGACCAATCATTACTCGAGCTAAATTATTCATGCAAGAGACGTGGAAGATAGATTGTAACTGGGACGACCAGCTTCCCGACGAATTGCTTCGCAGATGGAAGAAGTTCATGGACGAGTTGATGGCTATAGGAAGATTACGAGTTCCACGATGCATTGTCGCCTGTGATGATGCACGACGATTGATCCTGCATGGATTTTGCGATGCGTCCGAGCTCGCCTATGGCGCCTGCATATATATGCAAGTTGAGAACTCTCAAGGAGAATTCAGTTCGAGAGTGTTGTGCTCAAAATCACGCATAGCCCCGATTAAAACAGTATCATTGCCTCGCTTAGAATTGTGCGGCGCCGTCTTGTTGGCGCGATTACTTGTCGTCGTTCGCACAGCTATTCAAGTACCGATTGAAAACGTACGAGCATGGTCCGACTCTGAAATCGTTCTGTATTGGATCAAGGGTGACCCATCTCGTTGGAAACCGTTTGTATGTAACAGGGTGTCCGAAATCATCGAAACCCTGCCAGCAAAACATTGGAGTCACGTAAGCGGTAAGGAAAATCCGGCTGATGTGATATCCCGTGGCGCCAGTCCACGTCAACTCGAAAATCTAGAATTATGGTGGGCGGGACCGCCATGGCTGCTCACAGGAGAAATAAGCTCCGACGACGATTGCGGAGTGAAGCTACCAATGGAGAATCACGAGTCGATTATGACGGAAAGGCGTAAGGCAAAACAAGCATGCCAGATCATTGTTCAAGGACAACCATGTATTCAAATGCTATTAGAGAATATTTCTTTTCTAACTAAAATCGAACGCGTACTTGCATATTGCAAGCGATTTGCGTCAAACACCCGAAAGAAAGCCTCCGAACGAGCGGTAGGTCAATTATCAATTACCGAGGTACGAATGGCACACCGTAGCATCATCCATCACGTACAGTCTAAACATTTTCACGACTCGATTTCCATTGAAGGCCAATCAGTTTTTGAAAATAACGGACAAGCTTGCAGCATTAACTCCCTTTCTTGACGAACACGACATACTCAGAGTGGGAGGTCGTTTGCAACGTACCAATTGGAATTTTGAGCGAAAACAACCAATACTATTGCCGTCGAATGACAGGTTTACTAAACTTTTATTTGAAAGAGAGCATGTGAGACTACTTCACGCAAATCAACAGTTGCTATTAAATACCATTAGAGAACGTTACTGGCCACTCAAGGGAAAATCTTTAGCCCGCTCAGTGTGTCGAAATTGCGTGCATTGCTCTCGAGTCGAACCAGAAGCATCAACGCAACTCATGGGCGAGCTACCCGATCATCGAGTACAACCAAGTCGCTGTTTTCACGTTACCGGAGTGGACTTTGCCGGACCGATCATTACCTTGGTTAACAAGGGTCGCGGCCGAAAGACAAACAAGTCGTATGTCACATTGTTTATATGTTTCGCAACCAAAGCGATACACTTGGAGGCAACCAGTGAGTTGTCAACCGCAGCCTTTTTGGCCACCTTACGACGATTCGTGAGCCGAAGAGGATGTCCGAAGGAGATTTGGAGCGATAATGGCACAAATTTTATCGGAGCTAATCGCGAGTTAGAAAGAATACAAGATTTCGTGAGGTCACAGCTCACATCCGACACCGGGAATTTGCTCGTCAATGAAGGAATCAACTGGAAATTCATTCCTCCAAACGCTCCTCATATGGGCGGCCTCTGGGAGGCAGGCATCAAATCCTGCAAATACCATCTCAAGAGAATCATGGGCAACGTTCTTTTCACGTTCGAAGAGTTGTCTACGGCGCTGACGCAAATAGAAGCGTGTCTTAATTCAAGACCTTTGACTCCAATGACCAGCGATCCTAGCGATCTGAAGCCTCTTACCCCAGCACATTTTTTAGTTGGAGGCCCTTTAACAAGTGTGCCCGATCTCGATGTCACGGGAAACGCAATGAATCGATTAACTCGTTGGCAACTCATCCAACGAGTATTACAAGATTTTTGGAAACGGTGGGCGGCAGAATATCTCTCCCATCTACAAGGACGCACGAAGTGGAAGTCTGCTCAATCCAATTTGAGCATTAATGATCTCGTTGTAATCCGTGATGAGAACCTTCCACCCTTAAAATGGAAGTTAGGGCGAGTCGTAGAAATACATCCGGGTAGAGACGGATTAGTTCGTGTCGTCTCGGTGCGCGTTGCGAATGGCATCATAAAGCGCCCAATTGTCAAAGTATGTAAATTACCGAGCGATTCCAATTTTTAAAATTAGTTACTCTAATTTGGTGGGCGGTACGTATAAGCCGGTAAGAGTGTTAGCGATCGGCTCGATTCGTTTTAGTTTTAGTTTGTCCCACGCGGCGTTGTATGCGCGATGATTAGTTCTTTTCCGTTCTTGTATGAGTTTTGTATTGCAAGTTCGTTCATGAAAAGCGCGCGAGGCGCACGTTTTTGTTCACGATTATTTTGCATCAATTTTTGCGAGAAATAAAGCAAGTTAAACAAGTTTTGCAAGTCCATTCAAGTTTCTAGCCGAACTGTATTTTGTCTTCAATTGTTCACGCTTTAATCTTGAATTTTGTGCCGATTTCGATCAGTAAAAGTGCAAGAAAACCGAAGTCATTTAAACATATGTAGATGGAGTGGACTCTCTTCAAGCGTTGGTGATAGATCGAAAGACAGTCAAACGCGTTTAATTGCGTCAAATAATGTATTTTATATATTTAATTATATTGTTACAATTCTCTAGAGAAACTAGTGATCTCAGTTTTTGCGGACGCAAGATTAAGCTATATATTTACTAACGTTTCTGCAAAATCAACGGCGAAACGCGAAATCTCCGAAATGTGTGAAGCGTGAAGCTTTTAAATTCTCAGAATATTTACAAATTTACTCGAAAGCACGGGTTTCCGGCGGAATCTCGACACACATAGATCGAATGTTAGAGGGCCACTGTCATCACAAATTTGCTCGAACTTTACGATGAAAAATATTTTGTCAAGATATGCTTCTCGTTTGACCAACATGACATTAGTGTCTCTAAAAGAGGTAGAATCTGTGTTCACTCAATGAGCTTACATGCTGGTTTTGAAAGGATACAGTCAAATTGAGAAACATCTAATGGATCGGATAATTCACGAAAGTCTCGCGATTGAATGGAATATTGAAAAATATAGAACTTATAAATAAAAATAGTGTAAATTGTTAATTTCATGAAATCGTTTGAGAACGGAGTTGTTCATCTAAATTTTGTGCATTAACATATGAAGACAAAATTACAAATAGTATTATTCTTAATATTAATTTGGTGCAAAAATAATGTCTGTTCTTTACTTTATTGATTCAATTAAAGTGATAAACAACTATTAATTGATAAACAACTGTTAATTGGGTAGTTCATGTGCAATCTCTTGAGTGATTTGTTAATAGATCCGCTTCAATAAATATCTCCAAAATAATAGTTATTGTCAATTACAGATCATCCCTGATACTTTTCATTTTCAAGGCTGTTATCTTCGTTACGAAATTTTTGAAACTTATCACTATACTGCTCGTTCGAATGTAGTTTCCTAGTCGAACGTTTTATTAGTTCTTTAACTTATTTCTGTTGTTAAATTATACTAACACATTTAGCAAAGCAAAATCTGCGTTTGAAAATATTAAATACATGAACACAGTCGAATGTATTCTTCTTGTAGAATAAAGTCTCCAAAGTTTAATAAATATAATAAAAATCGACATTGTTTCTGCATCAATATTCTAACAGTTTACATGATATAATATTCATATATTTGAAATCTGTGCGTAACAACAATAAATAATTATATAAATATTAAAATTGATTTATTCAAATTTATATATTTGTTTGTAATAAAAAATTTGATATTGCTTATCCAAGAATCCTTTAACACTTTCAATTAATTATACGCTTAAACAGAGTTAAAAAATATTGAAAAGTCAAATAATATTTGGAAAAAATATATTTGAAATTTTACTTTATAACGATATAAGCTGATAAAAATCGAAGAAATGGCGATCGAGTAACTGATATCATTTTGCATAAATATTTTCTTTTGCTCCAGTTGATAGGTGATTATTGGATAAGTATTATACAGGGTGTAACTAAATTATCGCACTTGGAGTATACCATGAGATACAGGACGAGAATCCAAGTAAAAAAGTCCTGAGTCATTTTTTGATACGAGCTTTTAGTTCGTTGTTATACGATGTTAAAGTTAGCAAATTAGCGACCGAGTATAGAAGGAAGATAGGGACGTAGCAAGGCGGAGCGGAGCTGACGATCGCGGCGGGAACTGTATACATTAATGCTCCATACGGTCAAGCCATACAGGCAAGAGAAAAATGGCCTTGGTTGATCAAGAGGATATTCAAACCAGACCAAACAGCATAACGAACTAATGATAAATAACGGTGTTAGTGCTGACTGCAGCGTTTCCGACATTGTTTTTAGGGTCGACGGATAGTAATTTAAATTAACACTTGCCGCACGAGACACCAACGTGTTTTAAATTTCTTAAAAAAATTTCGGAAGTTGTTTGTTCAGAACCTTTAAAAACTTTACGAGAATTACACTGTGAAGTCTTTATATTCAGGAATAAAGTGCATATATATACGAACAGGTATTGGGCAACAAAATAAATAGGAAGATAATCTAAATTAGATTGTTTTATTCTAATGGAATTTCTATTTGTATGTATTATCAAAGAGTAAAATGATTATAAACTTAAGTGTCCTTGTAATATTGCGTTTTTATATTAGGTGCCAAGATATTTATTTAATGCTTTTTATTTATGACACGATGTGTCGACTCAAATTGAAGCTGATAACTTCGATAAAGTGTTTTATGTAGTGGACGTTAATATTTTATGTAGTACATAAAGGATAATATAACTTATTAAGAATTATCCATCAATTAAGAATATTAAATATCCATTTATTAAGAATTATGCGTTCGTTAAAAATGCATTCATTAAAAATTAAGTTGATTTGTCTTCTATGTTTCGACTCATTGTATTAATTGTAATTTAGATATCGGTAACGAAAAAACTGATACTGACTTACATAGGGGAAGCCCGGGCAAAATGGATGCCCTAGGCAAATCGAATACTTTTTATTTTTGCTTATCTATCAGAGATGGTGCTATGAATCTCTAGCTGTTGCAGGAATAACCGGCCGGCGACGCTATGAAAATACAAAACGCAATATGATTGCGATTGATTACGTTTTATATACAAATATACGAAATTGTCTGTTTTCTTACGATTTTTGCTTAGATACATAGAGTGTAATTATTAGCAATAATTGTTTCTTAACCAGTGTAAATAAATTTTTATAGGAATTCTCTGTATTTAAACGTGCATTAAAGGTTAAAATTTTTCACTTGTTGCTGAAACTTATTCTAATTTTTCCTAATTTGCGCCAAGTATGTTCTTTAGGCAAAGTGAGTGGGGACAAAACGAATAGCACGTCATCACTGCTGGACCTAGCTGTAGTGATGTAAACAGAAAGTGAGTTAAAAAAGAAAAGTCTGTTAATGATTAAGAGAACGTACGTTACTTCTGTTTGGTGTTCTCAAGAATACATCGATCCAACCATCCGAAGACTGGATACAGTGCAATGCACTCATGAAGGCTGCACAACATATAGAGGATTTGGCAGTTACTTTTGTGACGATTGCCAATATTAATTTTGATATTTTTTTATTATATTCCTCATTATTCTCATTATTCGAGTAATATTCGATTTACCCAGGGGGGTTGGGTAAAGCGGATGATTTTTCTTTTCTTACATTTTTATTTAAAATACATATAAATGTTCAAGTTTTTTTATTTTATTTAATTTTATTTTAAAGTTTATTCTATAATGAAATTTTAAGAATAAAAAAAAGTTTCTGATCTTAATTTTAACTATGTCATTTTTCTTCCCAAACCTTAACATATCCACACTGCCCGGGCTTCCCCTATATACAGGGTTTCCGAAATTTAAATGTCAAAGCTTCAGAAGTATGTAGAGAATCGAGAAACTAAGAAAAAATATCTCTTAGAAATAGACTCGTTTTTGCTTATAATTTTGGAGAATATCGCGAAAAAGATAAAATGTAATTGCTTCGTTCTTGGAGGTGAAGAAGTAGTGTCTTTATCATTTCGATCTGACATCACTAAACTTCTTTGTGTAAGGTTTTAAAGCAGTAAGTTTATTCGTTGTCAATTAACTCAAAAAGACAATTAAAAAATCGAATCGAAGCAGCACTAAATGTGATATAAATACCACCAGATCATTGTTTGGTTGCAACACGAACTGTCCGATCTGATGATATGCTTGTATTATTGCAAAAAGCAAATATTTTAAATAATATCTATTTTAAGCAAATGTGAATTAATAACATAAGTAAGTAATATAAAAGTACAAAAATGAAAACTACTTTTAATTTTTTTTGCAATTTTCTCTAAAACGAAGCAAAAACAAAATCTCTAAGAGTCTTTATCGATTCTCTACACGCTCCCAAAGTTTTGATATTTATATTCCAGACACCCTCTTCTATATTTGGTTGGAAAAGAATTAGGGAAAAGAAGCGCATGTATATCAAGTGACGCGGTAGTGTCTCCGGCACGCGCTCGAGCGACATTTGATATTTGATCTGCGCGCGGAGTGATGAAGTGAGGGGGACAGCGGAAGGCGGAGGGGATTCGAAAATCGGCCGAAAGTTACATACACTTTATGTATGTTCACTTTGTACTGGCACCTTTAATTAATAATATATCAGTTATTTATTTATTTTAAATGTTTATATGTATAAATCTAAAATGTTTGTAATAGTACAGAAAAGGGGAGCCACCCCCGATGACCTTGACCTTGACATATGTTGTCAAGGTCATAACCCTGAGTAACCTCCCGCAGGTTTTAGGTGGCGGTCGCTGTCCGTTAAAAAGTTATGATCAAAAAAAGTTTGAAAAATTACGTTTTATTTCTATTATACAGCGTGACTTTCAAACGAAGTTGATGTATTTTTTGATGTAATGGCTCGTTTTTACTCACCATATCGCGATCAATGAATAATTTCTTCAATAATAATAAAATATGTAATTATGAATACTTCTGAATTATTTCTGCAATACATGTATGATGTTAAGTACTATTCTACACCTTTCCGTATTCAGAAACATTAAACTTTCCACGCGAAGTAACTTTCACCCCCTCCCCCCCTTACACAGG